TGTTATTGTCCGCCTTGGATTTGCGATCACAGAGATATCTCTCTCGCTATCGAGTGTATGTTTGACGCATCTTTTGTTCGATTGACACTCGATGGGCGTATCTGTGCGTTTTCGGATGCTCTCTGTTGGTTTTAGAAATGCGGCAAGGAAGCTCGAGAAGTACGAAGCGCAGTAGACGAGGCTATTGATGCTCAAACGCATTGACGTGTGAAGTTTGATAGATGTTGAGAGCGTTTCGCCGAAGGGAGAAGGATTTCTGAAATACGCGGCTTCGCACTGTCCGCAGCTCGCGAATACGTAGTTGTCGCATGACAAAATTGCATGCCTTATCGGCGTAGAAGCTCGGAGCGTAATTCGGCGTGGTCGACGAAAAAAGGCCACCGACAGTGGTTATCTACAGGCAGTCGTGTCAACAGCAGCAATCCAAGCCACCAAGCGCTAGCCCCCTGCCTAGTGTGACTCGTGGGGCTCGTGGGGCTCGTGGGGCTCGTGGGGCTCGTGGGGCTCGTGTGGGCAGCGCACGCACACCATCGACCGGCAATTTACATGCGACACGCTCGCGCATAAGGCTCAATAGGACGAGTAAGCGAAGCGACAAGCGTAGTGCGTCGCGACGTCTCGGCGCCGCCGACTACGCGGAAACGCAACGCGTGGGAAATCGGTTTTGCGCCGAGGCAAGCCAAGTGGCGCGATTTATCAAGGTGAAAGGCTGTGGATAATAGCCTGCTCGCTTCCTCTGGTGTTTTACACGCTTTCTAATCGCTCACCGCGGACTTTCACTGACTGCTGGCTTTGCAGACGTATTTACAGCTTCCGACTTGGCCACTTGTCGCTCGGCCGTTAGCACTGGAAGGTTGCGAGAACGGATCGTTGGACAAACACAGCGTGGCGAGCTGAAAGCTCCTCGGAGAAGCTCGGAGGAGCTCGGAGGAGCTCGGAGGAGCTCGGAGGAGCTCGGAGGAGCTCGGAGGAGCTGAGGCGGAAGCAAAACGAACAACGACATTACAAATCACGTAGAATTGATCGCGTGCTGGCTCGGCTGGCTCGCGCTCTTGTCTGTGGTTATACGAGCTGCGTTTTTGCGGTTAGTGCATTTTCGCCGGTGCGCCTGACGACTAAATAAAGTATACTGAGGTGGTGCAATGACTTGGGCTTATGGGCGAAAATGGCATGGCGCAATGAATTGGCCATTATCGGGCGGTCGCCTTAAAAAATATAGTAAGCGAAATCCCGGAATCCCGGAATACCGGCCAGTGCGTAGAGCGCGGAAAGCTGTATAGGAGACGGACGTGTTTAAGCGTGTTTGCTTAAACTATGCATACTCGCTGGCGCTGCGAACCCTCGTCTCTTTCGCTCTCTTTTTCCTTTCAGCGCAAAGTCAAACAGCCGACTAGCTCTCTCCCTCTCGCTCCAGTAATGGCATCAATCGCGTCTCGTCTGTTTTCCGATTCCCCTCGGCATCCATCACCGACATCCATTTTTCCCACTGCCGCTCTCAGCGTCACAGCACAAGAGTCTCCTTTGTTTAGAAGCTTTTTACGTCTTTTATTGCCGTCTGCGGCCAAAAAACTCGGCCGCAGAGCGACATCCTATTTTCCTCTCGTCGACCCGTGCAAAATGTCTGCCTCCGCTTTGTAATCGTCCTTTTTTACGAGCGCGCTTTTTTCCTGACCAACGTCAGATTTTTTGGCGTGCCGACCGCTACAAGCAGCCGCGCAAAGAGAGCCCGGCCCCTCGGCCGCCACGTATACGAGGATCAGCGATTCGTTTGAAATCACGAGGCGTCGTCGGCGTACACCTACACAAAAGCTCTGCTCTCGCAAGCTCTGCTCTCGCAAGCTCTGCTCTCGCAAGCTCTGCTCTCGCAAGCTCTCTCGGAGAGCCGGGCAAAAACGATCGAGTCCATAATTCAGGCGTCCGCGCGGCCAAGCTCAACCTCTCCTCTCTAGCGATATAGCCCCGGAGGCCTCTCTCTCTCTCTCTCTCTCTCTCTCTCTCTCTCTCTCTCTCTCTCTCTCTCTCTCTCTCTCTCTCTCTCTCTCCTCGTTTCCATCCATACCTTCTGCCGACGCTTTATTTATGGAATCACACAGCTGCGTATTTTCGATTCACTAGAAATCGGCCAGAGCCGGCGGAGGTGGAGAGCGAGAACAATGGCCAACGACGACGACTTTTTTTATGTGGCAGCAGACGAGCTGCCGCTGCCGCTGCCGTCTTGTTTTGATGGGGTCGATGCACTTTGCGAGCCGTTGCAGACGCCATTACTTTTTTGCGTCCTTCGCTGTTGTATTGATTTGTCTTTTTGGCGCGGCCCAGTCGAGCCGAGCAGACCAAGTGATAGCAAGAGCAAGAATATGAAGCGGTGATCGACGGATGCAAATAAAAGCTTCAATCCCCGCAACGACCAGTCGACCAAAAGTAAGCACAGATACGCACGAGCTTGCGGATTAATCCTTGAAACAAGTAATCGCGAGCAATCAAACTAATACGAAATCCTCCCTCAAATGGATTCTGTAATAGGGTCTACGCGCTGCAAGCTCTCTCTCTCTCTCTCTCGACATTGATTCCGCGTGGAACAATTCAGTTGACTCCGCTCTCTTTCTCGCGGCTGCCACGACGACGGGCTTTTAATGAAAAATTCAGGATAAAGCTCCGCGAGCGAACATCCCGAAATTTCGTTTGCTGCGCTTATCTTTGCGGCTGCGAGGAAGAACGCGGGGGAAGAAAGAAAGGGACCTCCCTCGCGGCTTATCTGCGTGGTCGTGTCGGCACACCGTTCACTATCGGCTGATTGATACAGAGTCGCTGTCTGTTGTCGTCGATCGAGACTCGTCGAGCTGGTGACTTAGTTGTCGGCCCGACATTTATTTAATTGTTTGTTGGTTGGTTGGTTGCTTTGTTTAGTTTCGTTTCGTTTTGTTTCGTTCTGTTTCGTTTCGTCTTGAAGCAAATTAAGCATGAGTGAAATGCCTGGTTGATCGAATAAAACCTTGATTCAGTTTGGCGCATCGATCGTCGGACGAGAAAAAGTGAGCATCATTAATTTCGGGCGCGAGATTTGTTCTCTTGAGCAAAAGTAGTAAATGACAAACGCACACGACAAACAGATAAGCTGCCGGAGAGGCTTATATATATCGAGCAAATGTCTTCGCTCAGTCAGGCGAAAACAATGCTTGTTGTTTTTTCTTCTGATATTTGCGTTGCGCATGAGATTTCCGAGAGGGAGAGCGATCGTTGAAGTGAATTATCGCGCGCCTCGGGGAGCGCAGGCACAAAAACAAATAGAAGCTTTGAGCTTTCTCGACTGATGGCCAAGTGATTTTTCTTTGACTCGCTCGCTCGAGCTCTCGTCTGGTTCTTACTTGGTCCAACTTTGTTCCTGCCGGAGCAAACTTTTAATCGATTGCTTGTACACTTGGATAATCACTCGGATGCGTAGAATCGGCTGATTCACCCGTCGCGGATGCGAAAAAACCGCAAGGCGCTAATTGAAGAGCTTGATGGGTCTGCTCTCTCAGGCCGTCGGGGAGAAAAGGCGCGTAGCAAAGATTGAGTCATGTCCGTGGAGCAAGCGCTAAGCCGTCGCGAATGAGCTTTGCGCATGGAGTCTTGCGACGTTTCATTATCCGCTATTAGTTTAGCAGAGAAGCCCAGCAATAGAAGTGCCCCCATCGTATTCACCAGAGGGTCGCGCTCGCTCATTTCTGTTTTCTTGTTTGTCTTTCTTATCGGCAGTCCGCCACGCACGGCACGCACGTTCGATCGTAAAGATTTGGCCTTTTTGCCATACAGATAATCGTTGATTTATGGCATGATAAGGCGTTCATTTTTTCCTTCGACCACTCTGGCCGTGTAATTATGCAGCTTGATAAGGGTCGAGGGATATAATGGAGGAGGGCCGCTTGGGGGGATACATGTATACGCGCGCGAAGCCCTGCGAAATATTGCTGAATTGGCTAATGAAATATTGGGACGGAATAATGGCGATTCCGGGGGCTTCTTGCGCCGTTTCTCCGCGCCGGAGAAGCGACGTTGGCCTTTTTTCCTCGTGGTAATTGCGTTTTATGAGCTCGGATGCTTGCTGCCTCGCATCGTCCTTTGTTGCGGCCGGAGAGCATTGAGAAGTTAATCTGGTGTGAGAGCGAAAGGGAGGCAATGAATTTCTGGAATAAAATCGATAGCCCGTGGCTATTATTCGAGCATTCCGCCGGCGCGCGCCTCTGCCAAGGCATCAAAAGCATTCTAAATCGCTCGGCCGAGGGCCAGATGGATACTTTCTTCGAGTTTGCCGGCGACAAAGGAAATTGAAAGGCCTAGTGCGACGGTTAGCAGCCGGTCCGCGAATGGATACTCGGCTAATTGCTTGTTCTGTTTTCACGAGCCTGCAAAATGTTGATTCGGAAATTAAGCGCGCAAACTTTTCAGCGAGAGATTAATATTTGCGTAACGATCGGCGAAAGAGAGGCAGCCGGAATAATTACTGTCTGTCACGTTCGCGCCAGCGGCTTTTTAATTACGGGATTTTATGACGGGAGGCGCGCGCGAGCGCGCGAGCGCGCGAGCGCAGCCCGATTTGCCCGCGAGAGAGGATAATTGATTGACGAAGGGCAATTTTTTGCCTCGCTCTGCCCCCATTAAACGCCGAATGGGGCTTTTTAATTTTGTTTTGATTAATGTTTGAGTAGGCCGCCTCGGCGAGGCGGCCGAGGAGGCAGAGGCGGCGCAGCCTTATCGGCTTTCGGTAGGTAATGTCAGCCTCGCCAAGCTTTTCTTGTAGATTAGAGCGCTCTTATTGTCGTGGCGGCTGGCTTATACACAGACCGAGGCTCCGTGCCCTTTGTTCGGATCGCTCGATACATCAGCCGAGGAGAAAAACGCCGCCGCCGCCGCCGCGCTTTGCCTCCTCGCGGATAATCCCGCCATTGTGATTGTTTGTTTTGATTGAATTTACCCGTACAAAGACACAGGCTAACGTCATACTCTCATATTGTGCGTTGCAGTCCGAGCAGTACGGCGCTGGGTTCGCTGGATCAGCTCAAGGAGTACCTTACGACCGCCGGTACCTGCAAGTGTGGCCTCGAGTGTCCCCTCAGGCCCGAGCAGGTCTTCAACTTCGACCCCAAGGTAAGTGCACGCGCGCGTCGAAAAGCAATTTGCAGACATTATGCAGGCCGGCCGAACCGGCGAGCCGCCTGATCGATTCGCAATTCAATTTTTCTCGCACCAGGTCGGCCGGAGAGGCGCGCGCGTAAGCATCAGTGGCCCTCTTTTCGCGGGTCGGCCGAAGCCAAGCGTGGATCAGCACTCGGTGCTCGGCCGGGCTATCTCTCGGAAGTCGCGGGTTCGACAGCTCCGCGACATCCGTTTTGCGACTTGCCGCCACCGAATGTAGCCAGCGCCGGCGTGCTAACGAGCCTCCTGCGGCGCTCAGCGGCGCTCAGCGGCGCCCAGCGGCGCCCAGCGGCGTCCATCCAATCCACGCCCTGTCCTTTGACTTTTCTCTGCCTGTTGCTCGACTCGTCGCCCGAGCAAGTGGCGAGCCGCTGCGGCAAACGTTCCAACATTGCACTTAAATTAGACGCCCCTCGTGCATCCTGCGCACTCGGCGCCGATTGCCGATTGCCGATTGCCGATTGGAAAGCCCACGCGGGCGATGTATCAATGGAGGGGCGTCTCTCATTAATTAAGGAAACGATCGTGTCGGGGAATGCCGATGAACGAGCGCGATAACAGGTGTGTGTGCGTACGCTAATGCCCGGCGCCATTACGAGACTCTCCGAGCTAAGCAACTCTTGGAACGACAGTCTTGTTTCGATTCAAACGGCAGAGTGCGAGCTGGAAAGTAGCCGCGTTTGGGCGTGCTTGGCAAGTAACGAACTGGCTGGTAGACGTTATCTCGCTCGAGGTCTGGCGCAACGAGGGCCGCGCGAAAGCCACGAGATCTGGATGCCAATTGTTTGCCACGCATGCGTCATCGCGGAAAAATGTTTTGCCTGGGCGCGTCTCTATCGGCGCGAATAGCGCGTAAGAAGCAGCGAGCAGCGTGAGATCGCTGCACTGGATAGTTACGCCGACTGATTAATGAGCCTGCCTCCCGCAATAAGCCGCCCCCAAACTCCAGCTACGTCTGCCTGCCAAGTGGCTTTTTAATGAGCTCCCACGTTTGCCGATCGTTCATCAAGATATCGAGCTGCTGTTGGTGATGCGTTTGCCCTGCATTTGGCGCTTCTGCTCGTCCACCTTTCGTCGACCTTTGCACGACGATCGCCTCGCGACGTGGTCTGTCGTTGAAAAAAGACGGCGGCAGCCTCGGAATTCGGGCTTTGCGAGGCGTGACTCCCAGGCGGTTAAACCGAGCGTCAAAAGCGCCGAGGGACATCTCTGCTGAACTGTAGGTACGCGCGCGCGAAAAAAGGCGTGGGCGCGCGCACGATTACCATAATAATCCTGTTCCTCGAGGGAAGATTCTCTCTTTTGTTGGCATTGTTTCGTCTCGCGCGGCGGCGGCGGCGGCGGCGGCGGCGGCGGCGGCGGCGGCGGCGGCCAAAAACGAACGACGAGGCCGTTTATTGATTCCGAGCGACTGATATACGAGGCTTACGTGCTGAATCGGACTAACAAACGCCCGCGGAGGGGCTTCTCTCTTCTTTCTTCCGTAGCAGCCTTGACATCTCCCTTGTCTGCAGCTCGGAGAGCGCTTGCCGATTATTCAATCATCCGGCGTGCTAATGCTTTGGCTTTTCGCGAGCTGACCCACCATTGATTAGCCGCCATTGGACAGTCGGCTTCGCGGCAGCTGCGAACGAGCTGAGAAAGTGGTCGGTAAAACAGAGAGCCGCGCGAAGGCAGGGCGCGATAACGGCGCGGCAGCTATGATGCCCAGCCAGACGGCTAGACGCATTGGAAGCGCGCGAGCTCGACGAGGTGGCTTTCGCTTTCGCTGCTTTCGCTTCCGCTTGCGCAGGCCAGCGTCTCGGCCGCTCCAAGGCTATCCTTCCAGTCGAGCAGCGAGGCGAGGGAAAAGACAAATAGACAAGCTCAAGATTGCGCATGACAATGGCTCGCTCGCCGGGCTTTTTGACTACGCCGGCAATATACCGCGCGCGCCCCTTTTGCGCCCCTCGGCGGGCGCGTTCTCTTTGAACTTTGAACCCGAAACTTCGGAGACTCGCCCGCGACTTGGCGTTCGAGAGAGCGGCAGTTTTGGCGCCGCTGGGCGCTGCAGCGCTCCTTGCATTCACGCATTTTAATGGAGGATTATTGAGCTGCTAGCCGGAGAGGGGATTCGTTGCACGTTTACGAGAGGCTAAGCGAGCAATAACGTGTGGCAATACCAAGCAGCTTCAAGTAGCTCGATCGTGTTGCTCTACACTGAATACCTATATCCGCCGTTTCGGTCTGTCGTCCGACAGAGCGCCAAATCATGCCTGTGTCATCGCGTGAAAATGTACTTTCCAGTTAATCGAGCGCAGTAGTGCAGCAACGCGCGCGAGCGCTTTCTTCTTGCCGGCTTTGGTTTTGGCGATGGGGCATTATTTGTCGAACGACGCACAATGCACGTTCTCTCTCTCTCTCTCTCTCTCTCTCTCTCTCTCTCTCTCTCTCTCTCTCTCTCTCTCTCTCTCTCTCTCTCTCTCTCTCTCTCTCTCTCTCTCTCTCTCTCTCTCTCTCTCTTTGTGTCTGCGAAACGAGAGTTGACTTTGAGGGTGCTCGCGTTTTTTTGCCCTCTCGGTAATATGGAATATGGCTTTGTTGGAAATTAAATTGTCGGAATGTGCTCGCGTTTCTGTTTTTACGCTGGCTACGTTACCTGCCCCAGCCGCGCTTTTTCGTTTGTTCGCTTTTTTAATTAAGTTGAGCTTTTTTTTTCCACCTCGTCGTTCGCATTCGCATTATTCTCTCTCTCTCTCTCTGTACAGAGAAATGTACTTGGTTGGTTGTCGTCGACGAGATAATCTTTCGAGTTGTGCGCAGCTTTAATCAGCGGCTCGGGCCAAGTTTGCTGTGCGGAAAGCAGCTCGAAGAAGCGTGCCTTGAGTGGATTTATTTGCCGGTGATTTTAATTGAATCCTAGTGGCTCTGGCCGAGTTGCTGGCAAGCTAATTATAAAGGGCAGCGAGAGAGCTGTTGGGCCGATGGTCGCGCTGAAAAGAGAAAAGCAGCGCCGCTGCAGAAGCCGGCGTGCGAGCGGAGAGGCGTTGTCGCATCAATTTCGCTGCGGGCAAATGGCGAAACAGACAGGCGCGCGAAGCTGCGCGTGTATCGCTTGTAGCCGGGTAGCGTTGGCGACTTGCGCAGAAGGAAGGACGGATTGTCTGTGGATGCACTGGGCTGCTGTTGCACGCCGGCAGCCGGCAAAGCGGAGGATCAATAACGCTTGTTGTATGCTCGCGCAACCTCTCCCCTACTCTTGTATACTTGATTAACTCGCTCTCCGCGTCTATCTCCTTCTCGACTCGTGCGTGCGCGAGCGTGTGTGGGTTCGCGGAGAGGCGCGGAGAGGCGCGGAGAGGGAGCTTGCGGAGCAGCGGCGGCGGCGGCGGCGGCGGCGGCGGCACGATTATGATAAGAGCCAAATTGCAGTGGGAGATTTATCGTTGGCCTTTTTCGCCCGGCTGATGTATGTTCGCCAGACTTGCTCGCGAATGCCGGAGCTTATTTCGCGCGAGATCGAGATTACGCCGGCGCTTTTAGCTCTATCTGCAGCGACATTGTCGCATAGCAGATTGCCATTATGAAAAATGCTTGGGCTTCTTTGCGCTCGCCAGCGTCATTCGCGAGATCAGCCGGCTGGCGCTTGGGCACAACTGCAGCAGTGCAGCGCGCGAAAATACATCTTGATTCGCAAACAGTGGCTGCGGCTGACGATCGATCTGCTTGCCGTGCTGCCCATTGAAACCCGCTGACGTCACTTCCGGCGCGTCCGAGCGCATAAAATCTGGCCGGCTGCTCGGCTATAAATAGACGCCAGATAAAGCCAGTTGTTGATGCAACGCTTCATTTACTCGATATCGTCCGGCTCTGGCTGGTGGATCGTTGACGGCCGACGAGCGTTCTTGCCAGTCTTAATTGTTGCTGGCGGATCGAATTAAAATTAGCATATTAATTCGGTCGCCGGCGGAAGCACGCCAAAATAGTGGAAAGGTCGGCCGGCGAGTCGTCAAGCGCAAAGCCTATAAATATAGTAGGTGCGCGCGCGTCGAAAGTGAAATAGACAAGCGGCGGACATAATACAAACTGGTTCATTAATTGGCGCGCGCTGCGCGAGCGGGGAGCCCCTAATAAATGACCAAGGCTATAAAGGGCAATTAGGCGGCGGCGAAAGACAGACGGGAACAAGGCGAGGCCAGGACAATCCTAGAATAACAATCAATAGCCGGGGGAGGAGACATTAACAAGTAAAATCACGCGGAAGGAGGAAAAAGCAGCGCGACCTGTCCAACGAAGAATGTGCATTTGAATATCGCGCTGCGCGGCTTGTTTCTCTCGATCGAGTTCCAGTAGCAGCTACCGCCTCATTTGCGCGCCCACAGCGATTCCCCATGAAATTGAAATCCGCTTAATCCAATAAACGCTTGCGCGCCAGTAGTCTACGGATAGCGCCGTAGCGTTTATGATAATCGCCTTTGTCTCTCTCGCACTTATTTTTATACTGTTTTCGGGATGAGCTAAGCCGAGGATTAGCATATACTGCTGCGACGACCACTTTTTTTCCTCTCCGAGAGCGCACATTTGCATAGAACCTCGCTAATGGATGCGAAACTTCTTGACGTGCAACCCTCGCCGCTGCTGTTCTTTTGCTGCCGGTCTATAGATTGAGTTGTGCGCAGAGTTGCCGCAGAGAGCGAGACGACCGAGACTCGGTTTGCATTTGATTTATTAATAGCAGCCTAGTCTTTTTCCACGCGGAGAAAACTTTGGGATTCATAGGGGAAAGCCAGCCGTATGAAAGTTTCGCTCTTTCTCCCGGAGGATAAATGGATTTTCGGCTGGGGCAAAAGCCGATGGACATTTGTCAGAGGCGAATTATCGGGAAGACGGCAAGAGCCAGAGTAGCAGTGAGCGAGATGCAAACAATGAAACGACATTTTCACGGAGTCCTCTCGCATTCGATGCAGTGGACA